TTGGATACATGAAGTACGCAGACAAACAGGTGAGACCGAACTGCTGCAGGATAAACTGAGGAAATGAACTGAAGGCTTTTACAGATGAACAAGGAGAAGTCACATGTTCGCTTCTGTCTCAGTGTGCTGATGAGGCCATGGCGGCGCTCCACGGTCGGGTCGTCAACGGAGTAAAGATGAAGGTGATGCTGGCTGATCCTCCCAGAGAGGAATCCCATAAGCGTCCTCGTACCTACTAGGACCATGTGACAGAAATGACCGGTAAGTGACGAGTTAATCTCTGCAGGGACCAGCAGTGTGTGTAGTGGGGGTGTTACGGTACAAGAAGGTCACGGTTCAGTTCATGCACAAGGATAGATTTCTGTTTTTAAAATCTTAAACAGACTGATCAGCGCAACACGCTGAGGATGAAGGTAACATTTCACCACCACTGGGAACTGAGATCAACTTTTTTCAAACACCTCATGTGCATTAACTTACTTTCCGTGTATTCCTCTTGCGGCTGCGTGCACTGGACCGTGACCCCCCCCACACACACACACACACACACACACACACACACACACACACACACTCACACACCGGTGTGTGTTGCACTGTCACATGCTTCAGGCAAATGTGCTAACTGACCACCTTGTAAAGAAGTGCTTAACAAAAAGGAAGCAGCCAAAGTGTGAATTATTAGATGAAATGTAGAACTCACTCTGAAGCCCCTTTTACACACCGATCACACCGTAGAGCGGCTGAAGTCCCGTCTGTTCCACTTCCACGGGCGTGACATGTGACACAACAGCGTCACCCTCTAGTGCGACACGTAAAATAAGTGTCGGCAGCATTTTATAAACGACAACAGTGACAATAACGGCGCCTGCTAGCTAAGCGGGTAGAGCAAGTGTCCCATATACAGAGACAATGTCTTTGCTGTAGCACCCGCCGGTTCAATTCAGCCTGCAGCCCTTCACTGCACGTCGTCCTCCTTTCACGCGTGGACAGTCCTGTCTGATAAAGGCAAAAAGCTGACACACAATCTTTTTTAAAAAAGTCAATAACAATTAGGAATGGGCAGCACAAGCAAAAACACTATTGGAAAATCGTGGCAACTATTCGACAACGAACACAGAGATCCATTCATCATTAAATGCCCGAACATACTCAGGTGGAACGTACGCGGAACGGACTCCACGGAGGTCCGCGCGGACTCAAAGCGGACGTCTGCAAGCCCTGTGCGCGCAAAGCTCCACACACCAGTGACTGGTCGGCATGTATTTTTCACATCGCGGGCATTTTTCACGGACATTTTTACAGGAAACTACAACGCGGAAGTGCGCTCGACTATGAAAGCCCGAATGACTGCGGACATTCCTCGCGGAGTAGTAGTCTCTGCATGATTCTCCTGTTTGTAGAAGAGCATCAAACTAGCTGGTAGCCCATCTCACACCGCTGTAGCAATCCTATACTGCCCTCGTGCAGTTAGGAGCTGAATTGCATGTCAAATAAAGGGGGGAAATAAGACGCCGAATAGTAATAGTTGAATTAAAAAAACAATTTTTCAAAAATAAAACGACTGTTCGAAAAATCGAAAATCGTGACCCATCCCTAATAACAATCATTTACAGTCACTGTCGTTCGGCAGCTGATCTCATCCTCTGCTCAGATGATCACGATCGCTCGGACATCATCATTTTCCAAATCAGTTTCGGCTTCTTATCTTCTTTGAGTTAGCTACTAACTGCTAACAGCTGCTTTTTAAATCTCCCGCGGTGGGTCACACACACACAACACATCGTCAAAATGTCACACCCGTGCTGCCCATGATCCCATCCTGCCAGCGGTCCCGTTTACACAGACCTTGTTTCAGTGCTGTTTCTACCTCCACTCCCAGCTCAGAGCTCAGACATCCTGCGACTGTACCTTTATACAGAGCGGCGAGGCGGCCTAACGGTGCGATAATCCCACCTTGAGCAGACAGGGTAAAAGGGGCTTGTGTGAGAGCTTCTTCATCCACCTGCAGCCCTCCATACACACACACACACACACACACACACACACACACACACACCTGTACATTCCTGTGAAACTGTTGTTAGTGTTTGTGAGGAAATCACTGCTGTCCACTGGTTTCTGATGACACTTGTTTCTCTTCCTGTGAATAACACTGCAGCTTCTTGTTCCCTAGGCGACTGTTGTCATGACACAATGACACCTGACCTGACCGACCGACCGACATCGAGACCTCCTCCTGACCTCTGACACGACCTTTGACACCTGTCTGACCTTACCTCTGGTCTGTGACCTTGCTGTGACTCAACAAGTCAACAGTAGCATCCACTACTAAACTGGAGTCTTAATCACATACAGAGTCTGAGCAGCAACAACGTGCAGCATGTGTGTAGTCTGGTCAGCGTCCTGCTTTTATGCTTTTTATTAGCTCATCATCTGAACCTTGACCCTGCTGTGGTTCCTGTCAGCAGCAGCATCTGTCCTCAGATAACCAGAGAAACACCTGAGTTAAGTTGAAAGTCTCATGAGTTAGACTGTAGTTTGTAGCTGAGCTGTTAGAAGCTGAGTGTTCTTCTTTTCTAACGTGTGTGCAGGAGGATGAAGAGCAGGATGTGTAACCTGGATCTAGACAGTTTGGGTCCTTTTCTTTTATAGTGCGCTCTGTCCATCCTCATTTAAAAGTGTTTATCACACCAACTGTAAACTTGATTTCCTTTGTCTCACTATAAATAAAACTCATTTGAACATTCCAGCCTCGTCTCGTCTCTTCTTCTGCAGCTGCCTGGTGAAAAACTGGACTGATAACTGTTGATGATATTTATGTTTTAATAATTCTTTATATGTTTTTCTGTTGTTATTTCCTGTTTTACTTTGATCTCTTGTTGGATTTCTTCCATTTGATTCTTCAGAATAGTTTGGAAATAAACAAGTATCCAGATATGGAAATCAATGGGAGAAAGTTGGGTGTGTATGCAAGAGGAAAAATAATCGTGAGGAGTCTGCGTCAGATTACACACGCATAGGATCCTCCTGGGCGCCTCCTGTTAGAGGTGTTCTGGGCACGTCCCACTGGTAGGAGGCCCCGGGGCAGACCCAGAACACACTGGAGGGATTACATATCTCATCTGGTCTGGGAACACCTCGGGGTCCTCCAGGAGGAGCTGGGGAGAGGGACATCTGGAGTATATTGCTCAGCCTGCTGCCTCCGCAACCCGGCCCTGAATGACTGGATGAAAATGTATGTACGTACATGTGTGTGTGAATATACACAGCTCAAAAGCTACAGGAACACTCAATGGTCACAGTGTAACAGGAAGTCAGTTAAACTTCAGAGATCAATCAAGTGATTGTGAACCAGTTTCAGCTGCTTTGGATCAAATCAAAGTGACAACAGGTGCAATGGAGAGGCAAAAGCAAGACAAGCCCCAAAAAGGGAATGGTTTTACATGTGGTGTCCACAGACAGCTGCTCAAGTGTTCCCTTAATATTTTTGAGCAGTGTCATATTAGCGATGCAAAATATTGGATATCCAATATGCCAATAAATAATAAATATTTGGCTGATATTGATATATCCACATTTTTCCCAAACTAATTTTATCAGGTCTCCTCTGTCGTGGAATCAGCATATCATACATGCATACTCTCATCATAACGGCCCTCCAGCAGATGGAGACATGAAATATATAGATTACTTTTCAGTGTTTGTAATATAGTTCATTTCAAAGCTAATATTGGCTGATACCAGTGATGCACCAATATATCAGCATGTGAGCTGATTTTGTGACATGCCGATATCCTGCATCCCATATACATTTAAATATTGTCCGTGTGTGTGTGTGTGTGNATAGAAGCTGACAATGATGAGATATTTTGTTTATCCATGTCGGATTATCAAGCCAAAATGTGTTTATTACACTATATGAGAAAAATATATGATCTGTGGTTTCATTATCATTTTCACAAAATGAAAACGTATCATATATAGTTATATATATATGGTTTTGAAATGTGTTTCTTTCCTTTTGGAGGGTGCAGGTAAAGTTATAGATACAGTTCTTAGTTTATTAGTTGATTTTTTTATCAAACTGTTTAAGATGTGTTTTTGTTTTGTCTCCCAGGGAATATTTTCCATTGTTCATCAGCTACAGATCATTTATTTCAATCTTTATGGAATAAAGATTTGTTCTAGTAAAGCAGGCCCATATATATCTCTTATTCCATAAAGTAGAAGAGTTGTGAAAAGTTATGTGCATACAATACGATGTAATGTAATGTAATATAATATAATATAATGTAATATAATATAATGATACATGAAGTTTGATAATATCAAAGGCCGTCACAAAAATAAATTTTAATCCTCCATTTTATTGAACAGCTGCATCTCTGGAGTTAGAAATAAGAAACTGGTTATTACTTAAAATAAGTGTCATTCCAGATTTTGATATTTCTCATATATTCCTTTACATAGATAATTTGAAATCTAATATCTCTGATATGATAAATATGATCATTCTAATGGGTAAATATCATATTCATTGTAGTAAATGGAGAAATAGCAAACCCTCCTTTGACTGGTTTATAAATGATTTCAAATTATTTTTCCTGTCTCTTAAAAAATTGTACTCCAGCAAAATAGCCAGAAAGATCTGTGGAGATATGTCTCGTTTCTTGCTTATTTGATTTATGCCTTAGACTTTGCTCCTCTCTAGGGTCTTTGTTACTTTAATTGTATGCCTGGTGATCTATAAAATGACGTGTTACTGTTTTTGTTGTACTTGCACCTTATAAAAACCCCAGTTTTGTTTTTGTTTTTATTTGTATTTTTTCTTTGTGACTCTTTTTCAATTTCACAGCTTTTCATTGTACGAAAATGTATAGTCCTTACGAGAAGATGTAAGTTATGTTTCTCTATGTTTTTTGTTTTATTGTATTAAAAATAATAATAATCTCTGGAGTTTGACTGCTTCCGGGAGAAACAGGAAGTTCCGAGGAGCACCAACGGCTGTGCGGCAGTCTCGACGGAAGCAAAGATGGAGGAGTACCCTGCTAAACAAACCGAGAACCTCGACGACCCTCCCAACAGCCGCCTGTTCGTGGTCACCAGCCGGTCCATCACCGAGGAGGAGCTGCGGGAGAGCTTCTCCGTGTTCGGGGACATCCAGGGGGTCTGGGTGGTCAAAGACAAGCAGACCAAGGAGTCCAAAGGAATCTGCTATGTCAAGTTCTCCAAGTCGTCTCAGGCCTGCCTGGCCATGGAGGAGATGCACGGCAAAGTGCTGGCGGAAGGGACCAAACCCATCAAGGTAGCGTTAACGGTTAACGGTTAACGGTCAGAGCCCCGAGCAGCCGGACTAACCGACAGAGTCAATACAACTGTCCGTTAATCGAGCGAACTGTGTGGAACGTTAGATTAGCTTGTTAGCATGCTAACGTCGAAAACGGCCGTTAGCGTTTGTTAGCGCGAAGAGCGAAATCTGAGTTAATTACAAAATCAACTTTTTTCCTCACTCACTCATATTAGTGTTCAATGAAGTATTTATTGTCTGTAGAGGGTTTCAGTCTGCGCTACGTCTGTGGCGCCTCTGGTACCACCCCACTAACGTTTAGATGTGGATTAGAGCCAACTGGTTAGAACGTTAGCTTAGCTTGTTAGCATGCTAACATTTAAAACGACCGTTGGCGTTTGTTAACAACATCCACTTTTTTTTTGACTCAGTCCCAGTGGTGACCAGTAAATAATTTATTATATTGAGAGGTTTCCAGTTAAATGTTCGTCTTTGGTGCTCCTGCCACCGCCTCAATACAGATGAGATGCGGATTGTTTATGCAGCAGGAGGCGGTGACAAACAGCTGTGGTGAGGTGAGGGCGGTCAGTTTGCAGCAGCCCTCAGTCCGTACAGGAAGTCACAGAAACACTCACATCCTGTTAGAGCTGATGCTAATGTATTAAATATATGTTTAAATATAGTTTGTTCGCAGCTTCCAATTGTTAAATTCATGACACAGTGACCTCTTAAATGCTTCACAGGCTATCTGTTATTTATGTTCATGGTTCAACCGCCATTTTACATGAGATCTCCTGAACACCAGCATCATATCAATCTGCTGCTGCAGAGCAGACCTGTGCCCTCAGTTACAGTAATACAGTGAAAACATCAGGCTGACAGAACACAGAGGAGGGTAAGAGTTAATTAGGATCCCCATTATCCAGTGTATCGCAGCAGCTCTTCCTCCTGAGCTCCACAACCACTTTATATTTGTGACCGTGCACAAGACAACTGATAACATTTAACAAAATAACAGGACTTCAGGGCTTCACACCTGTACAGATGTTATTGTAAGAACCCTCACATCTCACTGACCACCAGTCTTTGTGTTGCTAAATCCCCCAAGAATGAAAACAGTCCAGTTTTAATAGATAATAGACTATGTATAGTTTACAATGAATGTATTTAGTCTCTGACGACCAAATGTCACCATCAGTAACACGTTTTCTGTTAACAGCATAAACCTTCAAAATCAGACGAATAACATCTAAGTCCAACAAAAAAGAAAAGTTTATCAAAAACGTCTCATTGTTGAGTCAACATCTAAACCAATCAGCTGTGAGATCAGGCGAGTGCCAGACATTTCCCATCATGCTCTGGTTCTTGCAGATGGTGCAGAGCAACTGCAGCCTTTGGCTCTAACCCTGTGACCGCCTCGATCTTGTGAGAGTATTGTTGTCCACTTTTGCGTGATGTAAGAGTGAGTCGGGATGAAGACTGACCAGGGTTAGAAAGTAGCACCAACCACCAGTCAGGTGCTGGTAAAATGCTGGTGAATGCTAGATTTGCTTCTTTTACCAGCCAAAAAACTATGGTAATCTTGAGTTGCTGTTAGATTTTGGAATCCACCAGCCACAAGTTAATTTCCGTCCCGGAGTCAGACACAAGTCTAACGGACAGGCATTGTGTGGTGATTGCCGGTGATTGAATCTGTGCAGGCCTGGCTCATCTCAGTTATTCAGAGACAATCCAAAGACTCGAGTTTCCTGGCAAACTACTTCCTACTAAAGAAACAGTCATTATAAATACACGAAGGAAGGACGCCATCGTATAAATCTTTGAGTAGCATGGACCAGTTTTTATTCACTTCCTTTAAAATGGCTGCTGTTGTAACCTTGTAAATGTCTTGTATTTCCTGTCCCTCTCTGGTTGGTTGTGTAGGTGTTCATCGCCCAGTCACGGTCTTCAACAAGACACAGAGATGTTGAGGATGAGGAGCTGACCAGGATCTTCGTCATGATCCCCAAAAGCTTCTCAGAGGAGGACCTCAAAAACACATTCAAAGTAACTCCCACCTCTTCACCTACATGTAACATAAACTGTCATACAAGGTCTTTAACATCAGAGAGACAAGATGGTGATTTGCAAATTGGATTCGTATTACTGAGCTCAGAGGTCCAGTGTGTAGGATTTAGGGCTATTTAGTGGAACCTGTCAGAGAAGACTGCAGACTACAGCCAACTGAAACTTCCCTCAGTGTTCAGCAGGATTATATCAGGAGCTGGTTTATCCAGAGAGGTCTCTTCTTCTCCAACACAAACAGACCAGGTGATTAAAATGATTAAAAACACTGAATAAATCAGTGTTTTTCAGAGGCCCTGTATCAGGGGCCGAAACAAAAGGCCCTATCTGGAGCCAGTGTCTGGTTTGTCTATTTTGGGCTACTGTGCAACATACTGGCTCCAGCAGACGAGGACCTGCTCCCTGTGTAGATATAAAGAGCTCATTCTAAGGCAACAAACATTCTTATTTTCAGGTGATTAGACACTAAAGAAAACATATTTATTATATTTTATTCCATTTCTGCCAACATATATCTCACTAAATCCTACACACTGGAGCTTTAACTAAAACTGATGGACTTCATGTCTTTGTATTTTATTTAAAACAGTCTAAATTTAGATTTATGGCTCTCTGAAATGTGTTTATACCCTAAAATATTGGCTTTAATCATCACCTCTTGCCACCTTGTTTATAGATCATGTGTATGTATAACCAGTTCAGCAGGATGAAAACAAACCTGTTCATCTCTCTCTCTCTCTCTCTCTCTCTCTCTCTCTCTCTCTCTCTCTCTTTCAGGAGTATGGTGACATTGAGTATTGTGTGATCATCAAGAATAAGACCACAGGGGAGAGTAAAGGACTGGGCTATGTGAGATACTACAAACCCTCCCAGGCAGCCGTTGCTATTGAGAACTGTGACAAAAGTAAGATGGTGTCAAATTGTTTTACTGGTTCATTATTAGTGTTGGAAGAATCCGCAGGGAAAATTACTATGACTTAAATTAACATTTCTATGTGCTTATAAATGAATGAATGAGTTAATATGTGGTGTGTGTTTCCAGTCATACTCACTTCTTAGTGTTCACACAGTTTGCACTGTGGATGTTTGTGTCTCTCAGAGCTGTGGCAGTGATGATGATGATGATGATGATGATGATGATGATGATGATTATGATGTTTTTTTTTTAGCTTACAGAGCCATCCTGGCTGAACCTCGCACCAAAAATACAGCACCAGAAGAGTACCCTGTGGGACCACCCAGAGGTGATTACTCAAGCAGTGGTGGTGACTCCATGAACCAGTATGCCTTCCCTATGGGTATGTCCTAACTCAGGCTTTCTCCTCTGTTAATTCTGGCTTTAATTTTGGTTCTGAAGGTACTGTGCCAAGTTTGTTGGAAACGGGGCTTTAGTCATAAGACACGCAAAATAAAAGACAAAATACAAATGGAAGCAGCTGACGAGTTCAGGCTCAAGTTGGTTATTTAGGGAGCTCGTTGTGGCCTCATGTGCCACTGTGAATGTAATGGATTAACTAATGACTACTAAGTGGAGGGGCGTACACATGCCGCCCTCAGATTCATTGTTTTCAATGTAGATGTGCAGCAGCCCAGCTCAAGCACCAGAGCAGGCAGAATATAATGGCTGCGCCCTGAGATTAACAGAGTCCCAGTTTTGGAACGCAGCAGCACACACTGTGTGTCATGTGACGAGGAGCAACCAGCCGGCAGACATCTTTCCTTCATCTGTAAATATCAGTCTGATAAATGTGAAGAAGAAGCTGATCATGTTAGTGCAGAGCTGTCAGAGCGTCACATCTGTCCCTCTGATGATATTTCTGGCCTGATACACACTTACAAAACAGCACTTGAAGTAGATCAGCTCTGCATGTAGGATTTCTGTTAAGTAGGCTATGATATGGTGCTGGTTATGGTTGCTGGTTGGCTCACTCTTCCCAGGTGGTTAAAGACGCAGCATGTGTACGGCCCCTGTCTCTTCCTGAAGGTCTCTGATGTTAATACTTTTGGGAATCCCTCACTGCAGTCGTCTCTGTCCTGTTATTGACCCTGGTGTCTCTCTGACCTCTGCAGCTGACCCTGGCAACTACCCGGTCATGGACTATCGCTCCAGTGACATGACAAGGTGCCTGATGATTTCAACAAGGGCCGCACTCACCCAGGAGCAGGTGTTTGCTCTGTTCGACATCATTCCTGGTATGGAATACTGCGAGCTGCAGAGAGACGCATACGGAATGAGCAAAGGTGAGTGATGAAACATGAAATCTGGACACCATAATACTGAACGTGGAATTTTTTGATCAAACATTCTATACATGCGTCTCAGTTACTAGATTTGTGACTGTCACATGAATATGACCAACAGACAAAAACCAAATTGTATTTGAGTTTTCTATAAAATGAATAAAAGAAGGAAATCCACATATTTGAAAAACTGGAATTGACTTCATCGACGATTCAAAAATCAGTTGTCATTTATTCCACTAGTTGACCGCGATCAACTGAGTGTTCTTTGATCTATCGCCACCATGTCACAACTGTAAATACATTTCCTGATTTCCTGAAGACATTGTCTTGATTTTGATACACGCCCAACTCAGAAGAAAAAAATTTAATTGGTTATCATCCTCGTATTGTGCGCATGTTAATGTGTTTCCAACAGTTCATGTCGATGACTCTAAACTTAACTCTGGTCCGTTTGGCCTCAGGTCACGCTCTGATTCGATACAGTAACCTGGGATCAGCGGTTTACGCCAAGGAAAAGCTGAATGGCTTCGAATATCCACCTGGAAACAGACTGGTCGTAAATTTTGTTGATGATGGAGAGGACCGCAGCAGGTACACACACACACCACAGCAAGCACTTACTGTGTGTCTGCAGACAAGTCAGAAGTTAATGGAGACATGGAGCTGAAATGCCCTTTAAAGTTAATATAGTAATTAAGAAAATTGGGATTAAAATGCCACTGATGATCAGCAGTAACCTTCACCGCATATTGTCTCACACATTATATTAGTTGTCAAATATTAATGGCTGAATGTGACTGTTATCCCCCTGTGGGCCACAGTGACCGGACAGTTGTTTTCCAGGAGCAAACCGTCTTTATGTAGTAAACAAGTAAGAATGTCGTCTGATGAAATAAAAGTTGTCAGCACAGTTTAGATGTACAGGAAAGTCACCACGTTGAGCAGTGTGTTAACAATGAAAGATTTCCCACTCTGTACACTTTAGATTGGTTTTAGTGCCACGAGTTGAGTTGTTATCTGCAAGTGTGCAGAAAAGATTTGAAATGACCATAAAGATCATCTTGGAGACACATAGTGTTAGAGTGTTCTTTGTCTGCACACTGTCTAATGTTAAAAGGATAAGTCAGATTTTTTTGAGGTGGTGCAGTTGTATGGGGTAACTTATCCACAGTCAGTGTGTTAAATGAAGTCGATCGGCACACCCTCAGTTTGGAGAAGCTAAACAATGTACTGCTTTGGGTGGGGGTCAAGAACCAACATTAATTTTAGCCACTTAAAAGATGATCCACATAAAAAAAAAATCAGTATCAATTTAAGTGTGCACTGTATTGAGAGTATTTCCACAGCTTTACCTGTACTCAACAAGAGAGCCTATAACAGCCTCAGTTCCCATCTCTGCTCTCGTCAAAGCCATCAGGCTCCATCCACAAAGTCATTTTAGCTCACTGAACACAGAGCTGCTGGTTACTGCTGCTTCACTCAGTTAGTTAGTTTGTGTTATTGTGTGACTTTGGTGAATCTGAACTAACCTTTAAAACTCCAAAGTCAAACAACAACACAAACGAGAGAACAGATCAAGGCAGCGACAGACCAGCAGCTCCTCTAGTGATGTTGAATCACTGTTCTGCTTAACGGAGTCTGGCTTTAAAGACAATGATGTAATGGCTTCCTTTTCATTTTGGAAATCAGTGTGTGACATAAAGGTAGAGCAGTGAAAATACTCTCAACATAGCGTACACTTACACTGGTGTTGTTTTAAGTGGGATCATTTTTATGCCTCCACGCCGGAGAATTAAAATACATGACATCAGTTTAATTTGCATGAACCAGTGAAGATCAGCTAGAGACAGCCTGTGTGCTTGTTCCTGTGTGTAGTCCTGTAGGTCGCATGGCCATGCAGTTTGTAGCAACCCAGATGATGTCTGCAGCGTGGAACGGCCCCTCCAGCAGCCAAGCAATGAAACCTCCTGTAAGTACATTAAATGATTTACATCAGATCACTCTGTTACTTACCTTGACTTACATTTAAGGAGCAGTGTGTAAGATTTAAGGAGATTTAGTGGCGTCCAGTGGGAGGGATTACAGAATGTAATCAGCTGAAACCCTTCAGTCTTCATCGTTCACGTCTCCAAAACGACACATTTAATGAACCAGTACTGTAGGATTTTAAAAAAGCCTTGACATGCAAAGTTTATTCTTCATCTGCAAAAAAGAGTTATTTACACATTAAACTGAATCAGTGATCCTGGGTGTGTTTGTTGCTATCCTCCAGAGTTTCCCTTCTGTCTCCCCAATGGCCCGGATTCAGACAGACGTCAACCTACCCTCTATGAAGAAGCTGGCCCCACCCGACAGCAAGGCCAAGGAGCGCTTGTTTGTTGTCTTCAGCCCCTCCCCGCTGCCCCCAGATGTGCTGGAGGACGTTTTCTGGTAAATGTCTCATTGGTTGACTCATTATCTTACTTCATTATAACAATACAATGTGCAACAGTGTGAGTATGGTGAGAGTAATGGTCCATTAGCCAGCAGGTGAAAGGTTTAATTGCTCACGACTCTAAGCTCACTGCAAATGACTCTGGATGAGAGAGTTGAGCTAAATGCTCTCTAATAACACTGTAATGTTGCTCCAAACAATCAGCCTGACCAAACGTTCCTGTCTGTCTCTCTGCAGTCGCTTTGGTTCCCTTATCGAGGTCCATTTGGTTCCTGGGAGGAAGGTTGGATACATGAAGTACGCAGACAAACAGGTGAGACCGAACTGCTGCAGGATAAACTGAGGAAATGAACTGAAGGCTTTTACAGATGAACAAGGAGAAGTCACATGTTCGCTTCTGTCTCAGTGTGCTGATGAGGCCATGGCGGCGCTCCACGGTCGGGTCGTCAACGGAGTAAAGATGAAGGTGATGCTGGCTGATCCTCCCAGAGAGGAATCCCATAAGCGTCCTCGTACCTACTAGGACCATGTGACAGAAATGACCGGTAAGTGACGAGTTAATCTCTGCAGGGACCAGCAGTGTGTGTAGTGGGGGTGTTACGGTACAAGAAGGTCACGGTTCAGTTCATGCACAAGGATAGATTTCTGTTTTTAAAATCTTAAACAGACTGATCAGCGCAACACGCTGAGGATGAAGGTAACATTTCACCACCACTGGGAACTGAGATCAACTTTTTTCAAACACCTCATGTGCATTAACTTACTTTCCGTGTATTCCTCTTGCGGCTGCGTGCACTGGACCGTGACCCCCCCCACACACACACACACACACACACACACACACACACACACACACACTCACACACCGGTGTGTGTTGCACTGTCACATGCTTCAGGCAAATGTGCTAACTGACCACCTTGTAAAGAAGTGCTTAACAAAAAGGAAGCAGCCAAAGTGTGAATTATTAGATGAAATGTAGAACTCACTCTGAAGCCCCTTTTACACACCGATCACACCGTAGAGCGGCTGAAGTCCCGTCTGTTCCACTTCCACGGGCGTGACATGTGACACAACAGCGTCACCCTCTAGTGCGACACGTAAAATAAGTGTCGGCAGCATTTTATAAACGACAACAGTGACAATAACGGCGCCTGCTAGCTAAGCGGGTAGAGCAAGTGTCCCATATACAGAGACAATGTCTTTGCTGTAGCACCCGCCGGTTCAATTCAGCCTGCAGCCCTTCACTGCACGTCGTCCTCCTTTCACGCGTGGACAGTCCTGTCTGATAAAGGCAAAAAGCTGACACACAATCTTTTTTAAAAAAGTCAATAACAATTAGGAATGGGCAGCACAAGCAAAAACACTATTGGAAAATCGTGGCAACTATTCGACAACGAACACAGAGATCCATTCATCATTAAATGCCCGAACATACTCAGGTGGAACGTACGCGGAACGGACTCCACGGAGGTCCGCGCGGACTCAAAGCGGACGTCTGCAAGCCCTGTGCGCGCAAAGCTCCACACACCAGTGACTGGTCGGCATGTATTTTTCACATCGCGGGCATTTTTCACGGACATTTTTACAGGAAACTACAACGCGGAAGTGCGCTCGACTATGAAAGCCCGAATGACTGCGGACATTCCTCGCGGAGTAGTAGTCTCTGCATGATTCTCCTGTTTGTAGAAGAGCATCAAACTAGCTGGTAGCCCATCTCACACCGCTGTAGCAATCCTATACTGCCCTCGTGCAGTTAGGAGCTGAATTGCATGTCAAATAAAGGGGGGAAATAAGACGCCGAATAGTAATAGTTGAATTAAAAAAACAATTTTTCAAAAATAAAACGACTGTTCGAAAAATCGAAAATCGTGACCCATCCCTAATAACAATCATTTACAGTCACTGTCGTTCGGCAGCTGATCTCATCCTCTGCTCAGATGATCACGATCGCTCGGACATCATCATTTTCCAAATCAGTTTCGGCTTCTTATCTTCTTTGAGTTAGCTACTAACTGCTAACAGCTGCTTTTTAAATCTCCCGCGGTGGGTCACACACACACAACACATCGTCAAAATGTCACACCCGTGCTGCCCATGATCCCATCCTGCCAGCGGTCCCGTTTACACAGACCTTGTTTCAGTGCTGTTTCTACCTCCACTCCCAGCTCAGAGCTCAGACATCCTGCGACTGTACCTTTATACAGAGCGGCGAGGCGGCCTAACGGTGCGATAATCCCACCTTGAGCAGACAGGGTAAAAGGGGCTTGTGTGAGAGCTTCTTCATCCACCTGCAGCCCTCCATACACACACACACACACACACACACACACACACACACACACACACACACACACACACCTGTACATTCCTGTGAAACTGTTGTTAGTGTTTGTGAGGAAATCACTGCTGTCCACTGGTTTCTGATGACACTTGTTTCTCTTCCTGTGAATAACACTGCAGCTTCTTGTTCCCTAGGCGACTGTTGTCATGACACAATGACACCTGACCTGACCGACCGACCGACATCGAGACCTCCTCCTGACCTCTGACACGACCTTTGACACCTGTCTGACCTTACCTCTGGTCTGTGACCTTGCTGTGACTCAACAAGTCAACAGTAGCATCCACTACTAAACTGGAGTCTTAATCACATACAGAGTCTGAGCAGCAACAACGTGCAGCATGTGTGTAGTCTGGTCAGCGTCCTGCTTTTATGCTTTTTATTAGCTCATCATCTGAACCTTGACCCTGCTGTGGTTCCTGTCAGCAGCAGCATCTGTCCTCAGATAACCAGAGAAACACCTGAGTTAAGTTGAAAGTCTCATGAGTTAGACTGTAGTTTGTAGCTGAGCTGTTAGAAGCTGAGTGTTCTTCTTTTCTAACGTGTGTGCAGGAGGATGAAGAGCAGGATGTGTAACCTGGATCTAGACAGTTTGGGTCCTTTTCTTTTATAGTGCGCTCTGTCCATCCTCATTTAAAAGTGTTTATCACACCAACTGTAAACTTGATTTCCTTTGTCTCACTATAAATAAAACTCATTTGAACATTCCAGCCTCGTCTCGTCTCTTCTTCTGCAGCTGCCTGGTGAAAAACTGGACTGATAACTGTTGATGATATTTATGTTTTAATAATTCTTTATATGTTTTTCTGTTGTTATTTCCTGTTTTACTTTGATCTCTTGTTGGATTTCTTCCATTTGATTCTTCAGAATAGTTTGGAAATAAACAAGTATCCAGATATGGAAATCAATGGGAGAAAGTTGGGTGTGTATGCAAGAGGAAAAATAATCGTGAGGAGTCTGCGTCAGATTACACACGCATAGGATCCTCCTGGGCGCCTCCTGTTAGAGGTGTTCTGGGCACGTCCCACTGGTAGGAGGCCCCGGGGCAGACCCAGAACACACTGGAGGGATTACATATCTCATCTGGTCTGGGAACACCTCGGGGTCCTCCAGGAGGAGCTGGGGAGAGGGACATCTGGAGTATATTGCTCAGCCTGCTGCCTCCGCAACCCGGCCCTGAATGACTGGATGAAAATGTATGTACGTACATGTGTGTGTGAATATACACAGCTCAAAAGCTACAGGAACACTCAATGGTCACAGTGTAACAGGAAGTCAGTTAAACTTCAGAGATCAATCAAGTGATTGTGAAACAGTTTCAGCTGCTTTGGATCAAATCAAAGTGACAACAGGTGCAATGGAGAGGCAAAAGCAAGACAAGCCCCAAAAAGGGAATGGTTTTACATGTGGTGTCCACAGACAGCTGCTCAAGTGTTCCCTTAATATTTTTGAGCAGTGTCATATTAGCGATGCAAAATATTGGATATCCAATATGCCAATAAATAATAAATATTTGGCTGATATTGATATATCCACATTTTTCCCAAACTAATTTTATCAGGTCTCCTCTGTCGTGGAATCAACATATCATACATGCATACTCTCATCATAACGGCCCTCCAGCAGATGGAGACATGAAATATATAGATTACTTTTCAGTGTTTGTAATATAGTTCATTTCAAAGCTAATATTGGCTGATACCAGTGATGCACCAATATATCAGCATGTGAGCTGATTTTGTGACATGCCGATATCCTGCATCCCATATACATTTAAATATTGTCCGTGTGTGTGTGTGTGTGGATATATAGATAGATCTATATCTAGATGTACATATCTATAGAAAAGACGGTCCTGGATTGTAATGCAGTGTAGTTCTGTATATTGTCAGCAGCTGCTGAACAAACCTGTGGTACATATGAATGTGAGACTGTTGTCAAAGTGGTACTGCATATAAACATGGGCCACTTTAATGACACTACTGTGGTTCTCAACCAGGGGTCCAGGGATCACCAAAGGGGCCTCGAGGGGGAGTTCCAGTGGGTCTCCATAAATGGGAATAGTTTATTTTTTCATCATGTAATTTACCATGGGTAAGTGAGCCCAATGTGATAATATTCTGATCACAGATTTCATCTCCTCAGCTGTTGCTAATAACTACAGTATTCTGGCATCATATGTAATAACCAAAATCTTAACAGATGGAGGTCTGTGATGTATCGATGTTCATCACTTTAGGGGTCTGTGACCAGAGGACGGTTGAGAACCACTGATATAATAAATAAATCCTTAGTTACACTTGTCACACACCAGCAGCTACATTATTTTGTTAAGAGGAACATCACAATCATACATCCTGAAAGCATTTGCACAGTAACATTTGCACAGTAATATCTGCTGATATCAGCTTTAAAATGAACTGTCAGAATCAGCCAACACGCCTTTTCTTACTGTGCACAATGAATGAATATTACATACACTGAGAAGTACTGTATTTCATGTCTCCATCTGCTGGTGGGCTGTCATGAAAAGCGTATGTATGTATGATATGTTGATTTCACGACAGTTGAGACTTGATGATCACTGAAACAGGTGGGAGAAAGTGGATTTATCGTTTGATGTTGTTTATCAAACAAATGAGTTGTTACATTTCAGCATGTTAGATTTCGACAAAAAACCCAATATCGTGCACCCCTGATTAAAGTGTTAAGAATTGGAAATGTGCCCAAATTTTACCTGACTGTGACCTAACTGGCACCAAGACCGGATTACCAAGTGTCAAACTGCCACATGGCCACAGACCCTTCAGGGGCCCCAAAGGCCTCAGCTCATCGTGTGTTAGCTGCTTCTTGTGAACATGTTAAACTTGTGTTGGAGCAAGACTCTTGGTTCTGACTTCTAAAGTATGTCAAATTTATGTTCTAAAACATGAATTATTTTCTGTTTATTTGTTCATCTTGTGCACAAACCTTAACACTGTTTGATCAAACTAACGCAAAGCAGCTGGCACAGAAGACCTGGGGCCAGGAAGTAGTCCAGTACATGTATCTATAGTGTGCTGTGCACGCTGTACTTGATGCAAACTTTGGGACAACAGGGGCCCCCAAACACACTGAGGGCCCCTGTTGTTTTGCCGTGACAGAGTGGGGAAATCTTAAATTTAAAAAATGCAGCACGTTTGTACAACAGCAGTCTGGTGTTGTGAAAGCTGAAGCCATAAGATGTGGACTCTGCTTCGTCCAATAAGAGACTCACACTGGATGAACAGTTATGTTTTATTTCTTCAGGAGGCAGCTCATGAGAACATTATTTACAATTCTGGGCTGGCGAGTGGATCATTTGGTTTCAGGGCCGACATTTTAGAAGTTCTGGATTTTGTCGTTCAAAAAGTTGCATGAATTTCCGCTGACAGTTGAACAGGGCTTTGACTTCAGCTACATGAAATGTATTTGTCGAGAGAAAACAATCAGCTGGACCTCAGACTAGAGCTGTTGAGTATGAGAGGCAGTGAAGCTCTGAACAGATTCAGTTTCTTATAACAGAATCACTCCTGTTCATTTCCTACGTCGTATAACTCAACCTTCAAACATTCAACATGTTATTTGATTTATCCCACAATATAATCTCAAGAGTGCTTTCATTTTAGGCCCTTACAAAGTCTCACTCTGCAAATCACTAAATTTAAGATTCAACTGATCAGGAAGCCTAATTTTATCAGTTTCAGCATAAGCCAGCAACAAGAAGTGCAGCCAAATTCTCTTTTAATGAAACTCTGACAAGCGGCGGTCATGTGGAGTTGGCCCTGTGGCGGGAACTTGGACACCGGATGGACAGAGAGGCCGAGGACGCGGCAGGATGTGAGAGGGGCGGTACAGAAAACAGAGGGCGGCAGAGACAGGCAGTGATGTCATGATATAATCAGGCTTTATTACTGGAGTCTCTGAAATTTAAAATCATTCAAACATCTGGTCTCTTTGTTGTGTAGCTCCATGCATCCATCCGTCGATCCCTTTGTCACTTAGTCCGTCCTGACTTCCATCACGCGCTCCCTCGTGTCTCACGAGCTCCCTCTCTCAGTCTTCCAGCGCCAGTGTGTTGAGTTCCTCGTCGAGCTCCTCCAGATCTTCTCCCGTGAACAGGTTCTCATCCACTGGCACCTCCTCCTCCTCTTCATCATCCCCTCCTCCGTCCTCCCCGCCTCCCTCCGCCCCCGAAAGCCCGTTGGCCTCGGCGCCACCGCAAGCTCCGTTCATCTGCTCCTCTGTAGAAACAGACCGATCTTTATTATTTGTGTTAAAGGTCACCTTATGATTTACACAAAAAGACGACCTGTGTTGTCATGGCAACAAGGCACAAATCTCTCATCTTCTTACCGTTGTCGTTTGGCGTCGGCTGAGTCTTGTTCCTCGAGGTGAAACGGTCCACGGAAGCTACGGTGATGCCTGTGTTGTCGACCTCTTGTGGAACAAAACGGGATAGGTCTATGTCCTGGACTTCTGTAGAGTTAGTCTGAAATAAGTAAGGTTTAAACAGGAGTGTGAGAGGTCGTGTTCTGATCATACCATTTATTATCTACTTAATTTAAGCACTGAAAGTGTTGGTGATTTACAGTGACGAGTCATTTTGCCTTAAACGCAGCATTCTGTGCTAACTGTCCTGCCAGATGCTGATTAATACAAAAGCAGATTTCCACTAAAATAGATTTAAAACGCTCGTCTTTGTACCAGAGAGCAAAATAATAAATGAATTAAGGGGCAAAAATGTGACTTTTCAGACTACGTTTAATTAAGATGAATTAAAGGAATGAAGCAGAAATGTTTTCTTGTTGCATTAAATGTGTTCTGCATTAATTTACAGCCGGCGTCTGACTGAGCAGCAGGACTGTACAGCAGGTGCAGACGATTAACAGGCTCATTATTTGCTGTGTAAAGACAGGCAGCAGGAATCAGACAGTTTAATACAGACGAGCGCTCTTAGGTTTTCCGTTTCCATTGTGAACAGTTTAATAATAACGGGTATTTATGATTCTTTGGTACTTATATGTTTCAGCGTTGGTGGTGAAAGCAAAGAAATCTGTCTGCTCACTACTTACTGTAGTTCTCTGGTTTCCTCTGAGACTTTTTTGGGGGGGATTTGGAATCAATAACTAGCTTAGCGAGGGGGAGTCCACTGCTAATTAGGTTCACCAAAATTTAGGAGACAGGACCAGTTATCAGGTTACACATTTTTACAGCTGGAAAATGTAAGAATCACTTCAGGCCACAGTAATAAAACATTAAAATTAAAGTAAGTGTTTTTCACATCCATATAATCTTTTGTAAAAGCCACTGGAGAGGCGCTAAAGAGCCGCAGGTTGCCTCCCTCTGGTCTGTGCACCACCATTAGGGTTAGTTTTGGTCCTAAAGGTACGATACTGAATGTTTTAGTGCAAACGGAGCTTTAAAGTCTGACGACTGCACCACACCACCTGCATCACCTGTAACTGAGGCAAAACAGTGAACTGAAAATGTGGCTGTGTCTCGTCTCTGTGAGGTGTGACCGAAGTCCCAGTTTGTCTCTGACTTCACTTCCTGCAGTCGGCTGTTGATGCTCTTAACTTTTAATTCTAAACACTTAGAGGACATTAAAGCAGAAACACATACATTATCTATTCTCCCAGATTCTAAATGTCACTAAAGACAGGAAACACTGTGTGTAGACGGATTCTCT